AGCGAGGACGTGCTCGAGGGTCAGGACGAGGCCAGCGCTGCGATGGATCGGGTGCTTGAGAATCGGGTCTCCGGCAGTGCTCGGGTCTTCGAACAGGCGGAAGATAAAGAGGATATCGACGCGGCGAAGAATGCCCAGAAGGAGTTGGAGCACGCTGACGATGGCGACTTCGATGATCGCACTCCTGGCCAGACGCAGGCCGGGACACCGCTCGCGACTTCGGGGCTCTCCACTGGACCGGACGAAGGCGGTGCAGTCCTAAGTACCCCTGGGCCGCAACTTCTGACCTCGCCTCAGGTCCACGCGGTGGACGAAGCCGTGGACGTCGAGGCCCAGTTCGGCCACGTCGACGACTACCTGCTTCGGTTTATGGAGTGGAATATGAAAGACGAGCCGCTTGTCCTACCCGCAGACAAGAGCAAATCCAAGTCCAAGAAAGGCAAAGAGCACCGTCTGCGGAAGCGACGTCGTTGAGGCGGAAAAGGTTTGGGATCCGGAGAGGGGGCGCGGGCGCGCGGGCGCGGGCGTGAGCGTGTTGAAGCGACTGCGGAAGCGCAATTGTCCCCAGTGTATGTGTATGCGTGTCTTGACATTAATGACTTCTACCTTCTATCTACACATTGTGTGTTTCAGAACACAGCACACAGGATTTGCTAGGCTTTTCTTTGTCTAAATTTTCCTTTTCCTTTTCTTTTCTTTTTTTGCCCCCTCTCCCCTTTTCTCCTCTCACACTTGTTGTGTATGTATCAGCCAGGCGGTGAAATGAGAGGGCTGGATATCTAGCGGGCGTCTTGTTTGATATATCTAGGAAAGAAAGGAAAAACAAGGCCGAACCTACAGCAGACAAACCTCCCCTCCCACACGCACAAGACAGGTGGGCGTCTATGTAGATGTCTGTTGGTTGTGTTTTCTTTCCTTCGTTCATGTTATATTACAATTGTCCATACGCTCCACTCCTATCCTTCATATATGTGTTCTTCCTTCCTACCTGCGACGGTTGTGTAAGTGGCTTAGACCGTCGTGAGATGTTTTAGCATTGAACGAGAGTCTTCGACCCAGCCTCTGCTCTGGATCTAGTCAGCTAACCCGGACAATTTGTTTCGGGGGTGGGTTGAGCGAAAGGCCAGGTCCGACCATGTGCCTTTGCTCAACATGAACTCCGGACTCCACCGCCCTTCTCCCTTGCCATCACAACCTGAATTATTTTTCACATACTCCCCTCTAGGCCAGATTTGTCTAATCGACCGACTGGCAGAACCCCTGGTAGCGTGCGTATAGCGTCATATCAAGCCAGCACTACTGGACGTGGAGCAGCTAGACCCAGGTGCCATCAAGCCCGGTGGACAGATCAAACATCCGTTGACCCTCCTCTTGGGTCCTAGACCCTCTTGTCGACAGTCTAGAGTCAGAGCCTTCGGGTAACCCAGCCAGCAGGGCAGTCCTGGGGTACAGAAGATCGGGAGGAGCAGAGGGTCTGTTTCATAAGTATATTAAAGATTGCCGACAGGATGGATGCAAGTACTTAGTGTAGTATACTTCACCTGAGCGATTTGAGTTTGTCGGCTGCGACTTTTGTCTCGCTAACCTTGAAGTGGAATGCTGCACCAGACCAATATCCGAGGAGGAGGGCGAGGGGCAGCGCAGAGAGACCAGATCGACCTGAGAGGCTATCGTAGAGTTTTCGATCCACCGGCGTGGACTCCGTACTTAAAGTTTATTTGTGAAACATGTGCAATTCCAGGCCAGCGTGCATTGCAGCCGTTTGTCACATTAGGCAGGAGAAAAAGCAGTGGCGCTGTTTGTGTCGTCTCTGTGATGGCATGTAATCCGAGCCCCTCGTCAGGAGTAGCCTCGGAGAGTCTCGCATCGTTGCAGATTCTAGAATGTCAATGTCTTTGGTGTTAACAGGAACAATAGAGGATTTCCAATGACCAAGCGGCTATCGAACTGATCTGGGAGCCGAGGATGATCGCCCACTCTAGCTATATCACTCATTAGACTCATTAGCCTTGCCCGGAGGTCAGGTTGAGTGGCGGGTATTACCATGGATGGAGAGGGGGAAAGGGAATGTCCCTGTGTTGCCGAGATTGAGCCAGGTACCGATCCTTCAAATGAAAAATGAAAAAATGAAAAAAGGAAAAAAGGAAAAAGGAAAAAGGAAAAAGGAAAAAAAAGAAATCAAGGATGACTGTGCAGAAACTAGGTACGGAGTAGACCAAAAGGGTCGGCCAGTGGGAAAGAATCAAAGTGAGGACCCTGGGGTGTAAATCCAGTACAGTAGTACATTGGTTGTGTGGTTGCGTGATTTGAGACTCACTCACTCACTCACAAACAATCAAGGTTAAACCTGTTGAGCTTCCAAGCCGAAAGCTGGAACCATTTGGAGTCGTACCAAAAAGACTGCCACGCGCTCGGCACAACGGCTGTCTCCAAGGCTCATATTTTGACTTTATATCGATAGGGTAGCATAGAGGAGATTGATCAAGCCTATCACATCCAGCCATCACTCCATCTCTGTTCACCTGACTTGTGGCCTTGGAGTGGGTGGAAGTTCCACTGATCAACATCGAAAGCCAGAGCAACGGCAACAGCAACAGCAACAGCAACAACAACCTGGGGTTTGGTCTCCACCATCGACACCGAGTTATAAACGGAATTATCTGAGACGAGCTGGAGCCGTGGAAAAGGCAGGCTGGATGATTGACTACTAGGTAGCCCCTTGTCTGTCTGCAGTCGGTAAAAGCAAAGAGAATGGAACATGGATGAATCAACCTCTACAGACGGCGTGGAAGCAAGAGGCACAAGGCAATCCATAGGTGACTTAGCCATCGAAGCTTCAGCGTATTCCGAATCAGGAAAAACGCCCGTTAGGCCCAGTCCTCGGTTCAAACTCTATATAGGAGGAGGATGAGGCAGAGGCATAGGCACTGTTCCTGTTGTATACTCCCGCCCGACTCCACGCGCATAATGACTGCACTATCGATCTGCTGTGCAGTAGTGACCAGTACATATCCAGATCTGTTCATACTAGTATGTGGGGAAGAAGGAGGGTCTCTCGAGGCATCCACCTGAGTTGGAATACTACTACTACGTATACTACGTACAGTACATATTACCAACGTATGTACTGCACATCAAATCGGAAGCTTAGCCATTTCAATCCTAGTAGGTTATAGTCACGAGTTCACAATTCCAATAGAGAAGCATGGACTCGTCCCCAAAGGGGTAATGGAGGGCAAATCAAGTAGTCTACTCCGTACGGGGCTAGAAATGGACTGATCCCTGCGAGGATCTGCAAGGCAGATCTTCCATCGCGGGGATGAGCATGAACTGGGCCAGCTTCTCCAGGTCAGGGCAAGGCGGAGGATGACAGCGATGGCTGATGAGTGATATCAGTTCACAGAGCGGGCTATCACTAGGCGATTTGTAGGCAAAGAATACTTCCCAGGTGATCTCGTAGCGGATGATCTGTCTGGCCTAGCTGGGTACTAGGTAGTTAGTTTGCCTTGTTTGAGAGATTTGCATTGTGTTGAAGGGAGGGTCGGAATTACTTCGGTTGTCCAGTGTCGGTTGCACTTCCCGCCGGAATAGCCTGAAAGAGATGTACTGTACAGTACTAAGTAGGCCACGGCGGATGGTGATCAAGGCATGACTGGAGAACAGTGCTATGTAGATTATGCAGAATTGAAGCGCCTCAGCCAAAGTTCACATTCGTTGCTTTGTACAGTACAGTACATTGATTGCCCTGGGAAGGCCAGCCAGTGTCATCCATCGCATCATCCAATTGCCCACGTGCGCAACTGCGACCGTGGGTCGTTCTCAACAGTCACTGATTGAGGACTTCCAGCTTCTCCGCGGATAAATGCGATGCTGAAACGGTTCTGACAAAGGATCGGGGAGGATATGCTGCGAGCAATCAGTCGGCGCCGTTGGGTTCTGACTCCAACTTTTGCATATTGCAGCTCATAGCTTGTTATTCAGCACACCGCTCATGGTCAATCCAGGGAAAGGCGGAGGCAACTAAATGGGCTCCTCGGAAAACTTCGGTATCTCGGATGTCGGACCTTCGGCAGCTGGTAGTCTCGGTACGGATGGCACGGATGTTCAAAATCCGGTCGTTGACGCCATCACCCAAGGAGAGTTATTTGAGTCAATGTAGCGAGGCGGGGGCAGAAGAAGCTAGGAAGAGATATGCTGAAAAGCAATGTAGGCAAGATTGAGTCTACCCGGTAACCGGACATCAAGATAGTTAAACACAGCATGTAGTGACCAACTCAACTTTCTTATAAGCAAATTGAATAATCAATGAAGTCACCCGGATTGATAGGAATCCCACAGCTGCAATTCTGTTTCTCCAGAATTTTCAACCCGTAAATACGGTATACTCACCGTAGTGAACATCAAGTGACTTACCTACTTAGAATTACATCTGACTAAATTATCACTTACCAGGAGATTGCGATGACATGTAACCATCAGACTACGCTGTCAGCATCTTGGAAGGCGTAATTATCGGTTGCTCTGCTGTGAAGTATTAGTGACAGCGACCTGTCAACTTTTGCTTAATCGACCAAAACATTTGACATGCAGGCCCGGTGCCCCTGTTTACTGTAATGTGATGTGATGTAAGAATTCAAACACAGGGCTTCCTGCAATTCTGGCTGTCTCATCAGCTGCTGCAAGCCGGGAAGCCTCGTCCTAGGCTCAGGAAGTGTTTGTAAGTACTGTACATGATTCTGTCACGTTAACTGCTCCATCCTACGTACTTTGGTGAATATCCCCGGCCCCCACTCTCACCAGCCATAGTAATGGGCGGGTGAAAATCATCCGCGTGACGAGTATAGCATACCTGCCCACTCACGGGTATCTTTGTACATACACAGTACTCTCCTTGAATCATGAGCTACCTGGTACGCCAGTACTACGTTTGGAGTAGGCTAGACATGTTCATGTAAAGAAAAAGGAATAGTACGCACAAAGGTACTACTGTAAATCTAGTTTCGAAACACTCAATCTGCGACCAAGAGGACTCTTTCGCTACGTGGGTTCTTCGGTTATCAGCGCTTTCATACGCTGTAGTTATTTACGCGCTCCTAAATTAGACACTTGCAGCAAAGCAGAGTAGGAAAAGAACCCGAAGAGAACACAGAATCCCCGTGTGGAGTTGGCTGCAGGCACGAGGGGACGAATGTGATCGGTCGTTTGTCGGGGGTAAATTAAAGGCTGAAGCCAGGAAGTATCGTCCAATCCTACTTGAAACCGCCGCGGTCGACCATGCCATCCAAGGTTTGCAGCAAACAACCAGAGGTTTGAGCATGACGTATCCGAAAACAATGACGAAAATCGATCGACGTCAACTTATCTCAGAGAGAGAGAGAGAGAGAGAGAGAGAGAGAGAGAGGGCTGAATGCCAGACCGCGGACCGCAGACCGCGGCACTGTATAGTTAGATCGGGTCAAGGAAAGTCAAGTTTCGTTTCGAGCTATTCACTCACAGTAAACGCCTTCCAAGAGATGGACTGCCCCTTTCAGGAATTGTGCTGGTAGAGAGCGAAGACCGAGGATTGAACGCCACTGCTATGCATTGGCACGCTTGACAGACCGGCGGTGTCTCCTTGGACTGACTAGACTGGGGAAATCCTGGAAGACGAGACTATCGAGGTTTCCTCGACGAAGATCAGCGGGAGATCCACCAGCACGACACTGATTTGCTCTTGCCCACTGCCTCTCCAGATCGATCAGTAGCGGTCCGAGTATGAGTAATTTGGATATATATGACTCCACCAGAGGAATGTAGCGGAGCTGATTCCGGTAGGTGCAAGTGGAGAAGGATGATCTAGTAGTCTGGTTGTGGCTTCGGGGCTGAAGGGCTCTAGTCCGGCGCACCATTACCCTTTCGTCGCCTGGCAGGCACAGACAGTAAGGTACGGAGTGCTGGTCAGTCAACGGAATCGAGATCGAGTGTGAACCACATTCCTCTCCCCAAATTACCCTGCCCCCCCCGAGGTGGGTTAGAAGGTTGGCCTGGTCGATGCTTTCTTCCGGGGCGTTTGCCCTTCGAGTGTTAGCCAAAGTCACTTGCAATCGTCCTTTCACCCGAGTCGGTTCTAAAGAGGCCAAAATTCGGCATAGATTCTCTTTCGAAGCCGATCGAACCCTAACAGGGTTTCAACGGCCAGAGTCTGTTTGAATTGTGGTTCCCAAGGAGCGCCATTAATTCGTTGGCTCTACACATTTCTTTGCTAAATAGATTAAATTGATCAGTCTACAGCAATAATGATGATGATGAAAATAGTCACAAGAAGATGCTTTATTGCATATACATAGAAAGACCACGCACGCTAGCCGAGTCCATCGACATGACATACATGCATGCATGATTTGACCCGACCTGAGACCTGCCTACAGCAAGAATTTTATTCTCTCATTATTCTCTCACATCAGGCAATCGGCAATGAAAGCCCGGAGGGTGTCAATGTACCCCAGTCGCTCCGATTTCCGTCAACGAATTAGTACATACACTGCACTAAGTCAGACTGCCCTATCTATGATTTTTGTTTCGACCGACTTTCTTGAGCTTGCCCCGAAACGGAAAGAACAGGGTTGCTGTTTTTGTCAAGTTGGAGGTAACCGGAGTTCTAGACTCCCACAGGAACACTGGTAGGTCGTCTCATCGCCAGCGCGCTTTTGTACTGCACTGTACATGGTGCTGTGCAGAATAAGTTACCGTAGAATAGTATAGGACCTACATATTTCCCGATAGATTTCATGGCAATCATCCACATAATCAGTTGATTAGAGGTCATGGAATCGCATGGATCAGATTGCAGTGTCAATCTCCGTATTCTCGAGTTTCACCCTTCACTCGGGAATCGGAGATCAGACCGTCAAACTCGTGCTACACCAGAGTTAAGGTCCCCATTGTTGTCAACCGTGCATGGCATTGAGAGTAAGCTCATGGTAGCCTCCCATCTGTCGTCCCCACCTACGCACACCATCATCCAATTATCTCCCCCGCCCCCATTAAGGCGCATCTCAGACTAAGGAAGATCTCTCCATTCGGGCTTCTGTGCATTGTCCACGCTCTACAGACAGTCGAAGAGACGGAAATGCCTCTTTGCATTTCTCATCTACCTGCCTTATCCCAATCAGGCAGTTCGACAGATGTGCCAAGGTCTCGCGCGGGTTTAGTTCTCCTGATGCTTGGGAGGGAATCTTTCCCTAGTTCTTAGGGCCAGAGGGACAAAGTCCAAGGTCCCGACTCCGCTAAGTAGCCTAGAGGGATCGCCCTCGATGGCGAACAAAGTGCCTGCTAGTGCCATGGTCGGGCTTAGATTACATTGATTGTGCACACACGTGATTTTTTCATGGCTCACTCGATCCCTTTTGACTGGACAGCTACCCTTGCCCAACTGCCTCAATTTTGTTGTCTATTCTTATCTCATCGAGATCGATCTCTCGCCTGGGATTAAATCTCTCATAGTGCTTGTCGAGGATTACTCTCTCACTCGACCTGATATCTTGTAGCCAAGTAACCAATAAAATATCAGGAGAGGAATGATTCTTATATTCGTTGGATCAATCAATCCAATAGGGAAGAAAAGGAGAGCATGGCTGTGGAGAGGCGACAGAGATCCGCTAGTTTGACATGGGAGAATGGTGGTGCTATTCCACTGGCTTATGGAGGGGGAAGACACGGGTACTACTCAACTGACACATTGCAAGGACTATCAACCAAACCATTAAGCACAAGAGACCAGGTGAAAGAGAGATGCGATAAGCACATCGGTTGATTTGTCGCTTCAACAATTCCACTACTGCATAGCCAGAGGATAGCTAACCTGTATGAGAGAAATGCAAGTACAGTACTTTTTTTTTTATCCTTATATTGTACGGTGCAGGACGGATGGCATGTAGCAGTGAGCCCTCAAATGCGATAAGCAGAAAAGGTGAGTGATTGTTGCCCCATGTTTTCTTTCTGTCTCTTGGTCCACCTCCTTCCCAGATCGCCTCCAACATCTTCTTCAATTCATCATCATCCTCGTCCTCAGCTTCGGCTGTTGCTTGTACAGTCCGTTACCGGGGGTCAGTCAGAACCGGGGATCGACCCAGAAAGCTTACTTGCAGGGCTCAATGCTCAGCGCATTGGGGGAGTGACAGGACCCGAGACAATGGACGTACCATCCGTGAATCTCCATGACCATCACCGCCATCCCTCGAATAATTCTTTTTTTTTCTAAGAAAAAGGAAAAGAAAAAAAAAAAAAAAGGGAAATGAAAGGGGACAAAAAAGTCAAAGGTAAAAAAAACAAGGGGAAAAGGAGAATTAAAAAATGAAAAAAGAAAGTCTTTTAGAAGAAAGAAGTCCGGCCGAGAGGGAGATCTCCACCCGCCTTGGCTCCCAATCACCGTCGGGGGCTTGATGCGCGTTCCTTGGGCAGCGTCGATCTCCCATGCGTTCGTTTGTCCAGATGGGCACGAGCTTCCTCCGCCAGCTCCAATTTCCTTCCATTCCTCCCCGTCCCTTTGCCTTTACCATCCTTCCGCCACCCAAGATTGCCTTGGACTCCGTACCATAGCCCTCTTTCACTTTGCTTTTCTTGCTCTTCTTGCTCTGTTCTGTTCCTCATCATGTGGGCTTTTAGTCAATCCTGCCCTAACTCCACCATGGCATCTTTTTCTCCAGCACGGGTTCCACTCCTTCCCCCCTTCCCCGTTTACTCTTAGACTTTGACTTTTAGTACCTTTCCTGACTTTAGAATTTTGATACACCTGTGGTTCACGGTCTCTTCCATCTTAGGACCTTTGCTCCGTACCTTAAACCATGCTCTGGTACAGCTGTCTCCAACCACTAAGCCTATCTTGCACATCAAGTCACCTCCGTCCTAACCATCCCCACCTACTTGCCCCCCCCCCTCTCTCTGAATACTAGGTAGTTAGTCTTATACTCATGTACTTATAACTATCAGACTATTGCCCTGTTCTAAATCCACTCTGTTCGTGCATCCGCTCCAGGCATTCGTTCTTTCTCCGCTATAACGTGTTCTGACACTTTCTTTTCACTAATCCCATCTCATCGATCTCTCGTTGGCTGTTGCTCAATTACCTTGAACTTACTTGACTCCCTCTCAAGTGTATCCCGCTCTACACAAACCTCCAACTTATTGAACTGTTCCATACCCCGATTCACGAGGGGAGCTTCGCCTTTTCTCGAAGTTGGCTCATTCTTTCCCCATCAACCTCCCAGCGTCTTGCTTTCCCCAAGAAGGAGTGCCTCGCCAGAAGAGCAGAAATGAAGAACTCGATTCCATCTGATGTGTGGGAGAGGAAGAAGGCCCTTATCGCTCAGCTGTACAAGGATGAGGAGTGGCCCTTAAAGCAGGTGATCAAGAAGATCCGCTCGGACGACTTCAACCCAAGGTGAGCTCTAGTCTCTATAATCCCCATGAAATAACGAAGTATTAACACCCTTGTTCGCTTTCAGTGAAACCCAGTTGCGAAGCAGATTGAAGAAATGGCGGGTCACCAAGCCTTCCCGCCAAACCCGCAAGAAGTCGAACGATAGTCAACAGGAGGGGTCTGGCGATGACAGTGGCCGTGAGGGCGGCTCTCCCAAGCATCAAGCCGCCATTGTCTCTCCCAAGTCTCGTGCGACTGCAACGGATCTTTCTGTGCCCGAATCAGATTGGTTCATGACTGGGTCTTTTGCACCACAAGAAGAGCTGCCGGTCACAGTATCCCTTGATCACGCCTGGGCCCCTGTACTGGCGCAACAATCACCATTGAACCAGCCTAACAAGCAGAGGGACGCTTCTCATGCTTCGATGACTTCGCCCTTGCTAGACGATGTGATGGTCAACCCGACTGCGAGTTTGGCACCCACTTTCCAGGAGCATCCTTATGGTTTCACCACCGAGTCTTGCATGCAAACACCCGTGTCATCGTCGGCCCCAGCTGCTCCAATCCAATGGTCAATCCCTCAATGGTATTCGATGCCCATTGCGCCTGGCGCCCAATCCCCCGCGATGCCATTCTATAGCTCAGCACCGTTGAGTCCTCCGATCGACCCTGCTATGCAGCTGATGTCTCCTCCCGGGCCACAACGGGTATATACGCCACAAACGCCACCGACAGCCAATATCTCAAGACAGCAGTTGTCTGACTTACATAACGATGGCGCGCAATTATGGAAGCGTACCATGTCTGCCCCTTATGTCCAGGATACCGCTGGCGGTCATCCGAGACTGAAACAGAGAAGCATGCAGTCGACAGCGGAGGACAGAAAGGGATCACTCCCCTCCAAGGCCACAAGTCAGCATAACATGGGCCTGATGACCCCTCCGCCCTCGTTCTTCCCTCACGGGCAGCATCCCGCTATGTGTGCGCCAATCTACACCTATCCGGGGACCGAGACTCTTGTTCATCGACCACCCAGCATCGACTTCTAAGATATCCGGGCTGTGGTCAATGCCTCATCTCACTTGAGTCTCGAGTGACTTTTTAGTGACCCTTTCTTTTCAGTGAGGCTCGCGCATTGGAGTTGCACGTTGTTTCTTCATGGTCCCGTTCCTCTCTTCTGTTCTGCTGCCCTATCTTTCTGCCTTGCTTTCTTTTTCTGTATTCAGTCCATTTTTTCTCCTTTCTCTACGTGGGCAGTTGGATCGGTGTCACGTATACAAGGGAATCCGATACCTGGCGTATCGGCTGGTAGTACCGATGCATGGAGTGAGGTGTACTGGTTCTAAAGATATCCACTACGGGTCGAAGGAGTTCGGGAGCGCACGTATCGAGGGGTTTCTTGACAATGGGTCTCTGGGATGGAAGTTTCTTATATCGCATTGAATGGGCTATATGTACTATGTCTGCTGGAGTACCTTCTCGGAGGTTGGGGAGAGAAAGATCTGCAGCCTTGACGGCCAGACAAACGCCACTATGAATGTTTTATTATGGGATGTATATATGTACTGTACGCAATCTACTTAGTTCTTAATCTAGCAAGCTCAAACTTTTGAAAACTTCAACTCTATCTGATATTCCTTCATCTACATTCATGTTGCCTTGTAACCCCAATTAGCGGGCTTGTTTTCGAAAATACTCGCCAAGATTCTTCTGGTACGGTATGGGGATGGTGCACGATGCCGCCGTACCTGCCTTTGCTGGAACAATATCCGAAGGCGGACCTCGGCACATCTAGGCCAGCGATAAATTAGTGGGGAGGGGAGAGCTCGAGCTGAACTGTCTCTCACCCTCCTCCTCCGCCTCCTTCTCCTCCTTCCGCGCCCTTTTCTCCCGCCTGCAGCTCACCTTGCCTGGACTCAAGTCGCCGTTTGCTAGAAGAAGAAGAGCATAGCATACAAAATTATATATTCTTGTTGATTGAGATTGCTTCCATTTCCCGTTTGCTGGTCATTCCCGATCACACCCCCGTCTTACAAATAGTACTAGCGACGCATAACCGAATTCAGCTATTCGACCACCATCATGAGGGCCATTCAGGTCGCCGAATACGTGAAGGTACATGAACCCAGTCTATCGCCAAGTGCCCGTATGTCTTACTGACTGCAACAACCAAGGGCCCGCTGGAACTCGGAGTTGTTACACTTCCTACTCCTTCCCCATCCCCGACGGACTACCTGATTGAGATACATTCGGCGGGTACCAACTTCTTCGACATCCTACAAATTCAAGGCAAATACCAACATCAGCCTCCACTACCCTGGATCGGAGGTTCGGAGTTTGCGGGTACGGTGCTGGCCGTGCCCACCTCTCCTTCCACGCCGCCACGGTTCGCTGTTGGCGATCGAGTCTTCGGCGCAACGCAGGGTGCCTACGCCACTCATGTCCTTGCTGCCGAACAATCCCTGCTACCTATACCAAGTGGTTGGAGTTTTGAAGATGCTGCCGGCCTCTTTGTCACGGCCCCCACATCCTACGGGGCCCTCGTTCACCGGGCAAACGTCCAGGCTGGGGAGTGGGTACTGGTGCATGCGGCCGCCGGCGGCGTTGGTCTGGCCGCCGTGCAGATCGCCAAAGCCAAGGGGGCGATGGTCATCGCGACTGCAGGCACCGAGCGAAAGCGGCAAATCGCGCGACAATTCGGCGCGGACCACGTCGTTGATTACCAAGATAAGAGCTGGCCGGATCAGGTCAAAAAACTGTGCGCGCAACACCGTACGGGAAATGGCAAGATGGGCGTTGACATTGTCTATGACCCTGTAGGACTCATTGAGGCCAGCCTCAAGTGTGTCGCGTGGAACGCGCGCTTGCTGGTGATCGGATTTGCGGCGGGCAAGATCGAGAAGGTCGCCTTGAACCGGGTGCTTCTCAAGAATGTCAGTCTGGTCGGACTGCACTGGGGCCAGTACGCCAAGTTCGAGAAGGAGACGGTCAAGTCTGTTTGGGCCGGCATCTTCGACCTCGTCGCGCAAAGGAAGTTCAGGGGCACTGCCTTCAAGGATGAGACTTTCGTGGGCCTCGAGAGTGTTCCCCGCGCACTGCAGGCGCTGGGTGGAAGAGAAACTTGGGGCAAGGTGGTGGTGAAGGTCATTGATAATGAGGCCGAAGCCGGCAGGAGTAAGCTCTGAGTGCAGAGGACACCCAGGCCGAAGCCCAGTCGTCTCTACCTTACATTAAAACTTACCGGAGGTGAGTAGGAGGTAAATCTTGGAGGCGATGTAGCAAATACTATGTGAATTCCTTCTAATAACTATCTGAAGATGTCTGTGTGATGTAGGTGCGCAAGGAGTCATGCTCTCGTAGGAAGTGTTACACGCGAGCAACATGAACTATGAAGGCCCTAGGAACTTTCTCTAGCAACTGTTCATCTGATATTCCAGATGAGGGGAGCGTAAGCCCCAACAATCCAGCTCCAGTCGGCCACAGCCACAGGACGTGACATGCGATGACTGTTCTTCCGAAAGAGTCCGTAGGAGATGCTCAAACGCCCTGTTTCAGCCCGGGGGCTTGAAATACAGCGATCGATGCGAGACAGCTGGATTGAGAAAATTGCAGATATAGTACAAGTCAGGATTCCCGTTGCTCAATCAAGAGACAAACACCATCGGGCGTTCATTCTCAAAGCTGGGTTGTGTGATGCCGCACTTTGCGACCGTGATGAGCCGAGCCTGTTTATTCAAACTGCACATTGACAGTCTTTTTCGGATAATCAGCCCGCAGATATAATGTAACATTGTATTATGGATGCATAGCAAGTCGCATGGCACCACTAATGGTGGAATGGCGGAGAAGGCATGAAGGCGAGAAAACGCGATGCTCTCGCGGGTTGGTTAGATCTTTGTTTTGTTGTTGGTTGTTTTGTTTTGACAGAGGAAGGGGAGGAGACGGAAGAGGGAGGGGTGGGTGAGAAGGGGGGGAGAAGGCTCGCTTAATGAGATGAGTCAGCAAGCAACCGGCCGACTACCCGATAAGAGATAAGTTATGGAAAACATCCTGACATCAGCCATCATCAGTTCCACTCTTAACCAAGATTTGATCACAATCCCGGTTTCCACCGATGTGGAAACAAACAGGAAGTACATGAGTACATGGGCAGGTGAAGGGGTCAGTAAGGTACCGAGTAAAACCCCCTGGAGGCAGGGTGATGCGCGATTGCTATCACGCTAATCAACCCGGGGTCTAAACCAAAGTACTCAGTAATTTTCCTATGCACCTGTCCAGATGCTTAATTCTACACACTTGCAGGGTCTTCCTAATATGGTCCATAAATGGTTGATCACTTCCATGAGTCTCGACAAGCATTTCTTGGTACAGTCGAGAATCCACTCATAGATGTGGAACAGGGCTGTAATTTGTATTGCTGTGAATTTCAATCTAACTACGTCATTATCATTATCATCATCATCATTATAGTCATGTCTATCTGTGCAGACTGACAAGCTTGAGCATTATTAGCGCTCGGCTAGCCGGTTTCTAACGGTCAGGCTCGGCGTCTTGCATCATATGCCCGGCTATATTAAGCTTCCCTTAACACCCAGGGTCAATCGCAATCATAATTACCCCTAAGCTGCTCTCTAATTCTTCATTACCCCCTCAATGGCCAGGGGACCTTCGATCATAAAAACCTCACGACTGTCATTTTCCCTATCCCCACAGTGTCGCCATCTATCCTTCCAGCATACACCCAGGATGTCTGCATCAAACAAGCATTCCAAGTTCAGTCATCTGCCCCGCGCTGCCGTGGGTTCCTTGATCTGTCCTCATGAGGTATTGCACGCTCTTGGCCTATAAAATCGCGCATACAGATTTAGCAAGTTGAGAATACTGACTCTGCTGCTAGGGTAGAGACCTCTTAGAGTCCTGTCAATACAACAAAGGATCTTCCTTTCCGGAGGACGAGCGTCGGGCATTCAAACTACTAGGCCTGCTCCCCCCCAACGTTCAGACGTTAGAGGAGCAGGTCCAGCGAGCCTATGAGCAATACAGCAGCCGGGATAGTGATGTCGCGAAGAACACCTTCATGGCTAGTATGAAGCAGCAGAATGAGGTTCTGTACTACAAGGTCGGATTCCAAATTTCGAGATTATTCTCGTATATCAATATCTCAATCCGCGTGAGCAATACCATTAACATTGGCTAATGCTCCAAAAGTTGTTGGAGACACATCTCAAGGAAATGCTCAGTATCATATACACGCCAACCGAAGGTGACGCGATACAGAACTATTCGCGTCTGTTCAGGAAGCCCGAAGGGTGCTTCTTGAATATCAAAGAGCAGGATAAGATCGAGGAATGTCTTTCCAATTTTGAAAGCAATGAGGAGGTTGACTATATCGTCGTCAGTGACGGAGAAGAGGTAAGCAGATAGGCGGCTAGATGTGGCCAGAACACACGACTGACATCTATCTCAGATCCTGGGCATTGGAGATCAAGGTGTAGGTGCCATTTTGATCTCAGTCGCCAAGTTGGCATTGACAACCATCTGTGCGGGAATCCACCCTTCGCGGCAGCTTCCAGTCGTCTTAGACTGCGGGACCGATGTAAGTTGATTCCAGACATTGTCAAACATGTACTTATGTCGGCGCCAGAATGTATCCTTGCTCAAGGACGATTTATATCTGGGACTTCGACAGCCACGCGTCAGGGGAGAAGAGTATGATCAGTTTGTGGAAAAGTTCGTATCAGTTGCAAAGAAGAAGTTTCCCAAGGCATATATTCATTTGTAGGTAACCATCACCTGCAGGACTTGAGCTAGGCTGACCGTCTCTCCAGTGAGGACTTTGGCCTCCACAATGCCAAGCGCATCCTTGACAAGTTCCGTTCGCAGATTCCATGCTTCAACGATGATATTCAAGGGACGGGGTGTGTGACCTTGGCTGCCTTGATGGCTGCATTGCATGTCAGCAAGGTCAAGATGGAGGATGTGCGGATCGTAATTTATGGGTCCGGGTCTGCTGGCACAGGCATTGCTGCGCAAATCGCTGACACGATCGAAAACGAGGCGGGCAAGCCGAAGGAAGAAGCTAGGAAGCAGATATGGTAAGCACTGTCCGGCCGATCACGCTGTTCTGTGTTATCATCGCGGTGTACTGAACCATGAGCCATTTACAGGTGCCTTGATAAGCCCGGGCTTCTTCTCAAATCTCTGGGAGATCAGCTGACACCAGCCCAAGTGCCATTTGCACGGGACGACGACGAATGGTCTGGAGAGAAATCCCGAGACTTGCTGGCCGTGGTGAAAAAGGTGCAACCGCACGTGTTGATTGGGACTTCTACCCAGCCTAAAGCTTTCACGGAAGAGATCATCCGCGAAATGGCCAAGCACGTCGAGACCCCGATTGTGTTCCCTCTCAGCAACCCAACACGCCTGCACGAAGCGTGCCCCGAGGACATCAACCGGTGGACAGATGGCAAGGCCTTGATGGCTACCGGCAGTCCATTCCCACCTGTTGAACGGGACGGAGGGAAGTACGAGATTGGTAAGGAGACAGCCCAGTATTGATTGATACGATATCCCAAGCTAATGAGTTTGACCATTGACGCGATGCAGCCGAATGCAACAACTCTACTTGCTTCCCTGGCATCGGACTAGGAGCGGTTCTCTCGCGGACACGCGTTTTGTCAGACAAAATGCTTGTCGCAGCAGTCAAAGCATTGGCTTCGCGGTCGCCAGCGCTGCAAGATCCCAAGGAGCCACTTCTCCCCGACGTTCAGGACGTCCGAGAGATTAGCATCGATATCGCCAAGGCCATAATCAAGACCGCAGTGAAGGAAGGGCACGCTGAGGAGACGGGAATACCTACGGACGATCAGGAGTTGGATGAATGGGTTCGAATTCAAATGTGGGAGCCGAAGTACAGACCACTGGTGCGACCGCACCAACAAGAGTGAATAGATATCTAGGCTTGAATGGGGGTTTTGGGGGCGGGGGGGGGGATGTTGAATTCTTATTTAGATACACTATTTGGTGCAGAGTAGTACTAAGCTATGACTTTCAAACCACCATCTATGTGATACTACCTTATGCATAGGTAGGCATAATTAATCATTCGGATCGGATGCCACAGCATAGACCATCCATCCATCTTATTTGGTTTTCAAAGGTGGTGCAGTACACAAGTCCGCCATCATCACTCATGACCTCATTGGCACATTGGCACCCATCGTCATCACCCGCAGACACCCCGTCAATTGCTTCGTCTATATCCTTTCTTATGGTTGTTGTTCTAAATCCGACTGAGGACAATAGAACCAGGAACCCTAAAATAAACCCAAGAACTCTTCGAGGTCATCAACGTAGAAAGAACAAAGCTGCCGGGGGGGGGGAAAGACAAGGAAAGTCAGGCTCTTCTTTCTTCCTTCGCAACTCTTAAGTTAGACTTTGCCCAGCCGAAATGCCAAGTGAGACTTTCAACATCTTGTAATTCCTCCGTCATCAGGGATCTTACTCTCTACAGCTTTCTCTCTCCAAGTTCCTCATTAGATTCATCCTTACAGCATCTGGATCACCTTGCAGAACGCAGAACGCAGAACCTAGAACTGGGGTCGTATTTCACCGGGATGAAGTTTATTTTGTTGACGACCCTGGTGATTCTTCTCCAGGCCTTGACCACCATATCACTGGCTCTCCCGCCATCCGCTCCTGCGTCAAGAGATCAGCCTGGCTATACCCTAGAAATTGCAAAGCGTCGGGGTGGGGGAGGAGGAGGTCGTGCAGGGGGCAGCAGTAGCGGGGGAGGCAGTGGTGGGCGCACCGGTAGTAGCGGAGGGAGCAGCAGTGGCAGCAGTGGAAGTGGTTCTAGGACTGGGTGAGTTGTCTAATAATAGTGCCAGATCCCTTTCCGTGCGCAGACAAAGCTGACTTTTTTTCTGCTCTGTCAGTTCCTCTACCAACGTTGGAGGCTCAACTCGCAGCGGTTCAGGCAGACAACCAGCCTACGGGGGCGGCAAATATTATGCTGGCGGCGCGACCGCTCCCTATACTTCGGGTGCTCGTTCGCGAACGGGCATAACGCCCTATCTGTTACCTGCGACTGGTCTCGCGTTCTTCGGGTTCTGGGCATACAACGTCTACGCCTATCCATACCCCCATCATTACTATTATGTGAATCAGTCCTCGCACCGCAATGAGTCCATGCCCGTGGTCTGTCTATGCCAACAGTACCTGGAATGTGGCTGTGATGACAACTCCAATTCCACCTACTATGAGTCGCTGTTCAACGGTAGCCAACCAACGAACACAAGCATTACGCGGGTTGCCCCCGTGAATGGCACCGACTCGATCTATATCAATGGTACCTTACCCAATGGGACCACCGTCGCCGATTCCTCTGCCTCAGCTGCCGCAGCTGGACCAACAAGCCAAGTGAGCCTTTCCATCGGGTACTGGACCATCATTGCGTTGGTGGTGGGCCAGGTATTATGAGGGTCTGCTTCTGTTTATCCAGTTTCTTGCTATAGATATACTCCGTAGAATACCCCCATTCTCCTGTTTGCTACTATGTACAGTACTTTTCTGGGTACGGTCGTTTTTTTGTTTTTTTTCTTTTCTTTTTTCTTTTCTTTCTTTCTTTCCTTTCCTTTTTTTGCCTCGCTTTTTCCCCGTCTTCGAGCCTAGACTTTACCGCCTGGCCGCTTGCTGCAGGACCTGACCGACTAGACCACGCCGCGGTCAGATTAAATTAAAGGCCCAGGGCAAACTTCACTTCATCAATCTCATTCGCTATTCTCCAACCCATGTTTCATCACTCTCGGCCGTCATTGTCTCAAATTGAGGGTCTACAGACACCAATCTCTTCAACACGGGAAAACGCCTGCGGCTTCACCTTCCCAGATCTACACATTTCTTGTTCGCCGACCACTGCTCGCTAAGTTAGGTACCATCCCCATTCCCCATCTGATAATGCCGAGCTATCGAATCTCTACTATACCTACGGTAGTGTGGACGGCGTCGCTAAATAGTAGGTATTGTAATGTGAATACAACTTGGGGTCGAAATCCCGAATTGACCGATGCTGGGGCCTAATCAGTTGTCTGTCTAGGATCTTTCCTGTCAGCCCCAGCCCTAGAAATAGTCTATGCATACCGGTACAATTGCGTATACTTTTACTGGTACAATAAATAGATAGGACTGAACAAATACGGACCCAGACAACATCTAATTAAAAAAAGCCAAGCAGTGAGTGGGCACATCAGCCATCCCCCCCTCCCCCCACCCCTTTTCCCTCTTATTCTGACACTCCTACCCCATTTCCTCTTTCTTGTTTATTTTCTTCTGCAGCTTTTATGAACTGCAATAGTTACAGCAGTGCTGTTATTCCTTCTGTGCGTTGATCTGATTTTTGAATCCCTTCCTTCATTTTGTCTCGGTACACAAGAGCAGTCCCTCGTTTGCAGCTCCATCCATTCTTTCAGCCGTGTCTTTATTTCATCCGCTTAAATTATTATACTATTGCAACAAATATACGGATATACATTCCAGGGTGCCTCCAAAGTACACTGCCTTGGCTCGTCGAGATATTTTTCGGCTCCAGACTTCACGCCATTGGAAAACCGTTTGCTTGAATCAGCTGGTCTCATTCCCAGGTCACTTCCAATTTCTCAGGATAAATTGAGAGCAAAAGAAAAAACACGTCTCGAGCGACCATGTATATCTCGAACGCTCTTCTGATTGCCTGCGCGGCCTACGCACCATTTGCTACCGCAGCGGTGCAGGCCATACCTGCCGCCACTGCTATCACAACGAGCGCTGCCTATCCCGGAGTTTCCTCTACAACACCCACACTGGCTTCCACCACAACTACTTCGTCCCCACTCATTTGGAGCAGCAGCAACATCGACGCGACTGCCACTACCGCCAGCTCGGAGGTTCACCCCACAAGTTCGTCGAATCTCTCTAGCCACACGCCAACTTTCAGCCGTCACATCGCCAGCTCTGCTATCGCCAGCTCCGCTATCGCCAGCTCCGTGCGTGCTAGCTCTTCTGTGGCCGCCAGCCCTTCCTTCACCAGGTCCTATATCACCAAGACCACCGCCCTTCCCACCAAAGGTGCTTCCGCCGACACCAAATCTGAATCCGGATCCTCTACTTCCGCCGACGCAGCCGAGGCGACTGAAACCAGTGCTGCGGCCCCATCCAGCAAACTATCGAGCGGCCTTGCTGCTGGTGTCTTGGCTGCCGTTGGTCTTATCATGCTCTGAGTTCATTTGGTGCAAGTGCCTTCCTTGGAAGGTGGAGCTCGGTGTCTCGTCCTCTGCTTGAATATAAATGGCCTCTCATTCCCTCTGACAGGGGTTACTAGCTACGGTGGCGATGACAGGAGGCCATGCGGCCGTTCCGTCTACCAGTTCGGCTTCCCACCGCGCTATTGTGGAGCTCCTATACTTGTGATGGAAAGCAACAAGCAATTCAGTATTCGAGGTTTGATGTATCAACCCAGTGTTGGAAGAAATTTTACTGTAATATTCCCAAGCGGAAGCTTAGCTTTGACCAGCTTTTTGCCTAGCTTTTCACTTCATCGTGCGGTTTCAGTGATGCGGTCCAAGTCGCATTAAGTGAGTTGCCACAACGGGAAACGATTTATGTTCTGTTGACAACGCGGACATAACGAAAGATAAGATTAGGCCCGTCGAGCTTTCATGAAGACATGCACGAAGGCATAGATGACGTTAACGTAGTGTACAGTTGCAGTAAGTTGTTGCGAACAATCGCATCAAGCAACGGAGAGAACATCTTCTAGTTGCGGAATGTTGCCTCGTATCTTTTTTTAAGATTTTAGTTAGCACAGAAAGACAGAAGGGAAGTGAATGCACTGCGTACCTCTTTCCTCTGAAGGCCCAAACACCCCAGTTGCCACACGAAACATCATGAGGGTCCAGATCATTGAGATCCCAGCGTAAACTGCGGAAAATATTTTCGCCCGGTTCAAGCAGAATATCGAATTCGCCAGCACATTTCTCATGTACCCAGTTGATATCCCGTTCCATATCCCACTGCGTGTAGCCTGTGCTGATGATCGGCACCTTGGTCTCCAGTAGTTGCGGGAGGGTTTCTTCCCACTCGTGAGAGCTTGCCGGGTGTCCGAGTCCGGGATGAAACAACATGATGCAGTCCAAGTATGGATCAAAAGGTTGGAAGTAATTGGCTTTGTACATTGTGTGGAAGTAGTCAACGTAGGTCGTGATTTTGAATTGACCTCCAAGTCGGTCTTCGACGACTCCCCCGAATGGATTGCCAGGTGTCCGCTCTGGCAGTGGAAATTCGGCGTCGCGATTCGTCATACTCTCCGGTCCGACAAAAATGAGATGAATGAGAGAGCGTGGAAATATGTAGCTGAGCTGCAACCAAACCTCTCGCGGCAAGGAAGACTCAGCCCGGGCCCCTAAGATGAAAATGCGGACCGGTGGTGCCTTCAGGCGTAGTCCTCGGATATCGACACCCTCTCCTGTCTTGGGAGGGTGTAAAGTGTATCGCAAGGCTGGGGCTGGCAGTTAGACAAACATTCATAGAGCATGTGTGGGGAGAAGACGAGATGAAGAGATTGTCGTGATGACTTACCACTAACACTTTTAAGCCCTTCCACCGTAAGCCTCCCCCCCTTTCGGACATTGTAGGGACTCAGTCCATGCAGAACACTAGCTAGTGTAAGCGGATAGGTCAGCATCCTGGTCACTTGCCGCATGCTCCGGTCATCGTTGATGGCCTCAAACTCTCGTGTATAGAGAAAAGTGTCCCAGTTTGTCATGTTGATGACGAAGTTATCATCTTGAAGTCCTGGATAGGTGAACTCCGGGAAAACCCGCCCAGAATGCAAATCATGATCGTCCTCATTGATCTGTCGGATGGTCTCGCAGACCTCCAAGTGTGCTTCGAAGTCATCCATCCAATGCCCCTCCGAGCAATAGATCGGCACGCCGCAGTCGGGACATTCAAAGTGAGAGTGCGCTGGCGGCAGACTCGAGCTCTGTGGGCTCTTGCGCGTCTCTGGGTCGTGAGGAGAGATAGGCAGTCGGGTCTGCTGGTGGCTTGGATGTGGGCAGAAGGCGTTTTGCTTGATGAAAGCCGCACGCTGTCGAATGGCCGCTGCTGGTGACTGAGAGAACGAATGGAAGAGGTTGTTCGGTTTCAACAAAACGCGCGGATCTGGAAGAGTATTGGAGGTGGAAGACGGAGCCTTCTGCACGACCGACCCGAGACTTCGGGACGCAGTCGGGGGAGTCAAGGCTGTTTGCTTCAAGGTTGCTTGGGGCGGGTTATCCGAGAAAAGGAGACCTTTGCTGGAACTGCTCAAACTCCGCACAAAGGCAGGGTTAAACAGGCCATATCCTCCCTTACTAGGCAGTGCATAGTGTGGCAGGCGTACCACAGCCCGTCGGCGGAGTGCGTGTAGGCAGCGACCACAGGTGTACTCACCAGTCATTGCTGGTTGGTACAGAGCTAACATGAACCAGTAAGAACAATAGAGAAAAGAAAAAATCAAGAACGAATACAAGAAGTGGATGAGTGTCGACTTTCTTCGGCAGTGACAGCGAGAAGCAGTTGCAGGGACGGAGCTTACTGAACAGTTGCCAAGCATCCACACGTGACATTCGCGTCCTAGCAAAGTGGTGTTGAATAAGTTTTTATGCTACAGTCGAGATGCAATATCATCTGCAACCATTCAGCCATTCAGGCATGTAACATTTCAATCTTAAATCATAGTTACGGTGGGGACAACCACTTATTTTACATACACATCACTCTCCCCTCAGAAAATATCCTCACAGACACTCCAATCGTGGGATTCTCGGCACTTCCAGTAGTTACCGTTGTGTGCCCAGTACTCCTCTCCGGTGACTGGGCACTGGGCTCGCGTGAACCACTTGGGCTGGTACTCGTACCCGTTGGTCTCGCGCTCTCTGCGCTTGGCTCGCTGCTTTTCTTCCACCCGATGCTTCTCGCTAGCCGCCAAATCATATTCGCCTTCTTCCATCGCACGCTGATCAGGTCGGAGCCGTGTGTCCGTAGGAGGAAGGTGCTCCTTCAGACCATTCGGCAGAGCGTTGAGGGTGATAACGAACGGAGTCAGGTTAAATGGAATGCCGCTCGGGCGCGCATGACACTGCCAGACCAGAAGCGTCTTGGTTGATTCGGGATCCTGGCCAGACACCGGCGCCTCAAATCCGGGAGTATGGCGCGCATATATCTTGTCATTCCACCGGCCGCCAATACTCCATTTCGGGGTTCCATCTCGGTCTACTACTTTCCCGGACACCTGATAGGCAGAGGAAGCCTTCCAACCCCTGGGTTTGAAATCCAAGTAGCAAACCTCGCCGGTGGTCCAATTTTTGATTTCCATCAACCCGTAATTGTCGACCGTTGGGTTACCGGTAATGATTCCGATCACAGATGAGGTGACTTTTTTCCAAGTATATAATTCCTCTCCTCCGGATGCCGGCCGCAATCGAAGGAACCATGTCCCTAAGAGATTGATGTCGAAAGATTTCCCGTAGAATTTCGATTTGAGAGCAGACTCGCCCTATGTTTTCATGGACCAGTCAGCGAATTGACGGCAGTCACTACATTAGAGTATTCTAGAAAGAAGTACTCACATAGTAATCCCATTTAGTCGACTCAGCCCAGGCAGCGCCTATCGGTGGGTGGTGGCTGACCTGCTCAATAAAGAACCGATAGCCTTTGTCAGGCCGGACATATTCAAATGTTTCACCAAGGAGGGGATTGAAAGGCTTTGCCACACGGCCAATGGTCGATGCATATTCGCTTGCAGCATACGCAGCGACATATAACAACCGCTCCATGGAGTCGGGTCTATCAGCGGCAATGTCCAAGAGGTCCGCATATTCCAGGTCTTCAGCCACTCGTTGAAGCAACGACGTTGGCTCGTTAAAAGAGACTGGAAGGGTCATCTTCGTCATGTCCTTACCAATCATAGACTTTAGAATGCCCTATAAATTATTGTGAGCGTTTACCAATGTCGGATTTCTCATGCAGTGGGTTGTTGAGCAATCACTTACCCAGAGCGAGATTTTCGGCCTGTTGTCATAGTCCATTTTCAGCCGTTCCCTGACAGACTCATCATATCCCGTGAATGAGGGGATGATTTCATTCCGCTTGATGGCTCGAAGCTCGCTACCCTGATCTGGGGACTCCCTCCCATCATCATCATCTGTAGGTACAAATGTCAAATTCTCCACCTCAATCTCCCCTGAATCAATTGCATCAAAGAACTGGTCGTCGTCGTCATCATCGGACCCTGAGTCACAAAGGTTGCTGATCTGAGAGAGAGTTGACTGTTTGTGATTGAGCGACTGCCCTGACTCTTTCTCCGTTATCCGCGAGCCTTCGTCAACCACATCATACGTTTGAGTCTCGACTTTTGCAACATCGGAGTCATCCCTGATGGTTTGTGCATGAGAAGGAGCCTTCCCATCAACATGGCCAGTAGTAGCTGACTCTAATGCTTCCCTGAGCGCCCTTTTGGTGCGCCGACGTTTCTCTTCGGACTCACCCATTCGTGACTGCAGTTCTTCATGTTCATGCGCTATCTTGGCCATACTTTCTTCCCACATCTTACGTAAATAAGCCTCACGGTTCAGCCTATATTGCCAATAAGCATCGCGGTCCCTGGAGATCTTCAGAAGATTTTGCACTAAGCCTTGTAAGCTACTCACGGCTGCTCCGTAAGCTACCAGAGCTTGCTCGATGGCCGGATCTGACAAGGTTGTACTCGGGCTTCTCGATTGTTCCGCCTGCATTGAAGCCGCAACGTTGGCGAGGATATCAAGCTGAAGTTTAGTCGACTGTGCGGTGATATTTAGAGCATCTTTATCAGCTGGAGGTATATCGTGGCTGGATGCATAGTCTCCATCGTCATCATCATCATCATCATCATCATCAATATCCTCATCTCCATCGATGTCGGGCACAGTAGTTACATGACCAGTGAGACGGCGGACCACATTCGATGGTGCAGCATGATCCAACGAGCCGTACAATGAGCCTTCATCGTCTTCAGGGGCACTTTCTAGCGTTGTACGCGATGCATACGTGCTAAGCCGTGTGCCACTACTACTTGGCACCACGATGGATGATGGAGCCAGGGTTTTCCCACTCGATTTATTGTAGGTACTGAAGCCTGGCGAGTCTGACATGCTCTCAGGTGACCGACCCTCGGTCTGTTCGATCTTCGCTTGACGTAGCACTTCAGCATGCCTTGTCTGGCGCTTCTCTTCTTCCTTTGCTTCGTCCTTTGCCCATTGTATGGCATTGTTGAGCGTCCAGAACCAGCGCTTAGCCTCGACGACATGGTTTGCCTTGAGATGGTACTTGACTGATGACTTGCCGTGAATTTCAAAACGGGTCTTGTCCTGCGAATCCATATTAAGCCTAGCAATTTTCATATTGATAGCGCCTCGGCAAGCTGAGCCCGCATCATCTGCCAAAGCCAAGGAGCAGACATCAGGTTAGCCAGTTTGACATGATTGGAAGTGGGTGTGTTTAGCTAAATTTACCTTGATGTTTATAGTAGCTCAAGACCCCGTCCTCCAATACAAACCACCGTAGCTTATAACCACTGGTGTAATTTGTCCATTTCTTCAGATAGCCTCTCATCTCACGAGCTTCTTTGCCAGCGAAGGGAGCTTCGGCTACGCCCACCCGGCCAGAGACGCTCGGGGTCGTTGCGCTAGTTCCTAAAATGGCTTTCTCCTGTATACCACGTTGAGCCATGACAGCGGCCGGGGACTTTTTGACGATTGCACGAGTCTTTTCATCTTTGGTGACGTCTTGTGGGAGCTTACCCTTTTTGTCGCGGCGAAATGGGTCGGCACCATGCATTAGAAGAATCTGTATCAGCTTCGTATCTCTCCTTCTTGCTCCTTCGTGTAGCAACGTTCCCCCAGAGTGAATGGTAGCAGGATCAGTGACTAGATCCAGGCTATCGACATCCATCACACCCTCAACCCGAGGCTCTTCCAAAACCTTTTCAAGTTTTGTATATTCACCTTGGGAGACTAGTGTTTGAATCTCCTGGGTTTTATGGTCGATGAATAGTGACCGCGCTAGCTGAAGTTGCTGGAATATCTCTGGAGTCCGGGCAACGTCTAGAGCTGTTTGACCACCGTAGTTGAAAATTGAGTCATTCAGCGAAGGCCGACTCAGCAGCTCACGAACTACAGGACCTCGTCCTAGCTGAGCGGCCAGATGAAGGGGAGTATTGCCATCTCGATCCTGTGCATTCACATCCAGCTCTTCGCCCGTAGATAGTACATACTCCACGACTTGTGGCTCTGCGCACTGAATAGCTAAGTGGAGAACCGTCGTACCTGACAGACTGGTCGCCCCTTGAGGCTCCTTCGTCTCTTTGATGGCTTTAGAGATAGCGGTGGTGTCGCCGCTCCGAAGAATCTCAAAGAGGCGGAAAGTCCTCACCGACTGGTCCAGAGACATGCTACTGCCTTCGGCGTGCGGCAAAGAGGGAAGCTTCTCGATATTGTCGTCGTCTCGGATGGAGGTCATCGATTCTCGCGGAGGTTCGCCAGCCATCGAAGGCAACAAGTTAGTCTCCTGACGTGATTTGCGGCGGCTGGAGCTTCGCGCGGCTGGTATACCAGGGAAGGAGGACGTGGTGCTGCCGACTGGAGAGGAGGTGGAAAGGGGAGGTGACTGGGCGCGATCGCGACTGGCACTGCCCTCACGACCCTCGCGCGACTTGTCTCGGTGCAAAATCGCCAGCGCCAAAGAACTGCGGGAACGTTTATGCCTAAAGGTCGTAAAGGACATCCAGTGTCAGCACGCCTAAACTACGGCGGTCTTTCGGATGTAGGTCCCGGGCCTCTGGTCACATAGGTGACATAAGCCGGTCACGAAGTGTTGAAGGCATGAGGGTGGGCTGCGAATTGTCTAGAAAATCTATCTCGAGATGCACTCACCCTTCACCCCAATCCGTCATCACTCTCTTCTGCTCGCCGCGGCCACAATCAGTTTCCAAAGCCGGGCCCTCTAGACACAGGATGCCAAGTACGGTGTCCAATACAGCGGGAATCGCTGGGAATCCTCGGCTGCGAGGTGGGATGAGGAAAGGAAAAGGGGACGGAGGTAAGAATGGAAAAGGAGGCTGGTTGGATCGGCAGAAGAGGGAGGGAGGGGTCGGATCTGGGGAAGGCGGCGCGCGTCACTGGTTGTTGGGGGCCCCCGACAATTGAATATGACTGCTCATCGCTTCGCGCGCTTCGGGCGCTCCGGCAAACGGCTCACGCTCGAAGGAAAAGATAACATCTATTATATATGGAGTAAAATACATACATAACCCAACAGTCTTAACTGATGGCTGTATAGCCCGAGCTTCACCTAGTCTCTCCACTCACTACGACGATAACACTACCTAGCTGTCGACGAAGGTCTTCCTTGTCGACATCATGGGTATCTTCCACCTCGCCCCACATATCCGTCTGCCACTTGACTTCCATACTGGACGCTTCGGCTGCCTCTTCAATCCCAAATCTCTTCTGTCCGGGTCGTTGTAAGCCACGGAAGTTCTCGCTCCACTCGGCGACCAACCGAACAGCGATCAGAAGACTCTTCGCTGCGAGTATGCCTCTCTCAAGCGCGGCCAGATCGAAAGCATGCAGATTCATGACCCACTGTTGAATGATATCCTTGGTGACTTGCGGCTGGGATACGGGCAGGATGCTGTCGGCATCTAGAATTGGTCGAATATCGACTCCGGGCCAGACCTTGGTACCCAGAAAGGCAATTGTATCATTGGCGACCCTCATCTGCGCCTCTCGCAGACTTTCGACTTTTTCACCATTCTCATTGGTTTCTCCAAGGGAGTCGGCAGCTTCAGGCACCCAGCATAACAGCGTGTCGGTGTCCAGATAACGCATCGCGGTCTTCACAATCTGGTCCCTTGCGGACGACATGCCTTCCTCATCCTCTCGGGCGATATCCGCCGCCCGCGCCGTAAGAGATGTCAGCGGGATAAGATGATTTTTCAGAGCTTGCTGGGCGGTAGTCATCACATCCCACTCCAAAGCAATCGCATGCGCTAGGTAAGGTTTCGTCGACGGTATGGACAAGGCATCTTTGGACGGCGTTCTTATGGGGCGGGTGTCAAGCAAGACTTCGTAATTGCCTTCTATTATTGGGATCCAGAGCACGTTGGGAATCAAGTCAATCCAAGCCCTAAACGTATATTCGCCGCAGTAGCTGTTCAAGATTTACCTGACTTTTTCCGAACAATGACATCCTTCCAGAAGCGCTTCTTGAGTCCTGAAGAGGGCTTTTCTGGACGCGCATTTGCCTCCTTTTCGAACGGACTTTCCGATCGCAGTCCAGAGCATGCATCGAAGAAAGGCGCAGGTGATGGCGCCTTAGGGGGGGGGCCATGGGTAGTAACAGGGTGGGCAACAGCGGCTTTAATGCAGGAGGTTTTAAGGGAACGCGCAATAGCGCCATTGTGTCGAGCAGCCAGGGTCGAAACTGCCTGTCTCGACAGAGTTGCGTAGAAGTGAGAAACTCGCGGCATTTTCAATCAAAGACAATCTGCAGGAAGGTTTTGATACAGTGGAGAGATAAATGAGAAAAAAAGGCGAGGGAGCATGAACTGCTTCCAAGACAGCGTCGGGTCGGATTTCCCACTCGCTGGGCACAGAACGGAGGTGAAGTCGGGTCGGGGTCGGGACGCCACCGGCGCCACAGAATATGGAATGCGGTCTCCGCAACCTTGGAACTCGCCAGGTTTGCCCAGTGCTACTCGATTATCTTACTGCATGACGGGAAAAGTATGTGGCTTTACCTCTTGAGTGTTGTATGAGCTGTCTCGTGTATTCATCGGTAGAAAATTTCTTTTGTACTTATTCGCAATTTGTCACTTCTTCCCTCCCGTCAATATCAAACCCCGTACACTGCATACCCTGAAGAGATTGCGTACGTCAGATAGCCAATGACTCCCTCAATATGCCATCTTGCCATTCAGTCTCAACACCAAGCGAATGTCGGAAGTAGGCCTTTCTTATGGCTTACCCCTTCATTATGACCTATGGTCGAGATCAAGGCCCGGACATTAGGTAGGTGATGCGTTGCGCAAACTTGCAACATTCTGGCCTCCAATAAGAATACAGATATCTCATTAGCTATTAATGTTAACGGTATTCAATGATGTGCTTTACAGCTCAGACAATAATGCACAACAATCTGAGAACGAATGATGTCCTGGCTCAGTGCTTGGTGTAGAGGACAATCTGCTGACAAGCTATGACAAAGACAAGAGCGAGTCAGGACATCGAGAAGAAAATAAAACAGCAGAAGAGATGGACAGCAGCACAAGCACAATATTCAAGCCCGCACTTTTGTACTTTACATGAAGAGGATTGCCTTTTGATCAGATCCCCTTAGAAATAGTGGAAATAATGGAAATAACTTGGGTAGATCTGACCGCAGTTCAGTGTTATTCTGGCATTCCCAAAGCCCCAAAGGGCCCCAAAGCCCCAATTTATCCAATAGCCGTAGTAGATCCAGCTGGGTTCGATGAGAGTGTCGGGCAGGGTCAAGAACGGAAGAACGGGGAAGTTTGAAAGGACACTGTCGCGGAATAGGATACAGAAGCTGGGTAAATAGCCCCGCGAGCTGCTAAAAACTTGATGGGCCTGGTCTAGAATGGGATTTCTCAGAATCAGTGTCATGAGGGCGTTTCATCATTAGCACGAGTCATAGCATCCCGTGGGTATAGGATGGTCTCAAGGACGATGCTGTCCTCTCAACCAGAGTAGAGAAATATGGACATAGTGTTTCGACGATCAGACCGGTCCAGCCTTAGTCTCACAAGCACGGGCGGTTGTAGCATGGGGGGTGGAACGTCTATCGCTTTTGGAGTGGGCAGTAGCTGGCATTATTGCGTGATAAATTTTGGGTAATATGGCCGTTTCATGCGATCTATATCTGTTCGCTTCTTCATACGTTCGGCGTCGTAGTCGTCGGCGCCATCTCTGCTACCCCATGCAGTCTGAAGGGGGATCCCAAGTCAGCTCATGAATTCGAGAATTGAAGGATAGGCACGCTCCCAAAAACACCGCACGCGGCATAGACCCAGCAAGACTTTGGATAGCGAAGGGGCAAATGAAGAGAGAGTTTGTGTATGAATGAAAAGATAGGTGAGGGGCTTATAGTACTGAACGGTACTTGAAGGATTGATTACAGGTGACGATAAACAGGAAAAGTGAAAGTGAGAGGCGAATGCGGATGGAACGGTGGTTGGAGAGGAGATCGCCTCGAAGATCCAGGAGGTGGAGTAGAATAGGTCGGGCGGCAAACATAGCTCGGAATTACCCAGACAGGGAAGGCCGTTCAGAATGAACACGAAGACATGAGTATGCACGAGGGGACAGGGGTGACATGTAAGGCGAGAGGGTCTGGGCTGAGGACAATCCGAGCGTGGCTCTCCGTCTCCAATGAATGCCCTGGACTGGGGTAATAGATACTGTTGTAAATTGAGAATGCAACTTACCACATTGAGAGTGAGCACGGCGTAGATTTTGATTCCCCCGTGGAAATACCCAAAGAGTATTGACACTGGCAGCAGAACGAAGTCCACGGGATATCGAATGTAGTGCCCCAGAAGCTTGATAAACTTGCTCATGAGCATCCAAGCTCCAAGTATTTGCATAGCCATTGTATGAGCATAAATGTCCCAATCTACCGTGGCTTTGTGGCACAGCAAGAGGAGAAGCAAGTCACCCAACAGCGCTGGGGGCGAAAGTGTCGTCAAATGAACAGCATATGCACTCCAAGGTTGGCGGCTACAAAAGGAATTAGCATACACAAAACCAACAAAGACCAACAGCAGCTTAATGAGAGCTCAGAATATGCCCAAGGTTGCTAGCAAACGTCTCTGTTTCACTCTGCCTCATTGCGCACCGTGAAACAACGATGTACTATCCCCAAATATGCTCAGAACGGATTGTTCAGGGCAGGCCAAGAAGGGTAACCTGAGGGATGGTTTGAACAAAGGTAAAATGGCAAGGTAAACTTACTACCAAACGTGTTTTTCATGAAACATGCTTGTAAGGTTGCTCCGCCAATTGCTTCGAGACCAGCGTGCACATTGTTTCAGGAACTTCGGGTTATTCTCCAGAGTGGTCAAGACCTCGGCCTCAGGGTGGTACTGCATGTAAGTCTCCCAGCCATGAGAGACCATCCAGCGAGTGATGAAGTTATCATCGTCTGCGTTTAATTGATATTTGCTAAACCACCATTCCTCGTTTGTGAAAGCGTATGTAAACCCTTCATCTTGGAGAATCTTGGTCCTGTACGCGACTGTGCGTCCGGACATGCAGGGCAACCCTCCATCTATGTGCGTGGTGGCTGCGCAATCAAAGTTTCGTCGTTCGAGATACAAGGCCCCAAGATATCCCCAGATGCGCTGGGACATGGTGGGTGCAATAGCACGGCGCAGCCGTTGGCAGGTGACCACACCACCGAACCGCTCATCCTTTTCGAAAGGCGCCAGGATCCAAGGAAGTACTGTGCGTGGCCAACTCACATCGTCATCTGCAAAGACGGTAATTGCCGTGCGTACCTCTGGGATTGCTCGTGTCATCTGGCGGCGTTTGTTCGGGTGCGTCACTGTGAACAGACGAATTTTGGACTTCGAAGCAGGCATCAAGCTCAGCATGTGTTCGGCCTTCTTTCTATTCGCCTCGATCGTGACCAACAATAGTTCGAAGGGATGATTATCGAGGATTGTCCTTATCGTCTCCACAAGTTCATCGCCGCACCCTTCCAACGTAGGAAGTATCACCGTGACATCTTGGGCAGTGAGCTCCGGGTTCTCGGGAAGAGGAATGGGCTTGAAAGTCCAGAAAGAAACCAAATTTACCACCAGACGAAAGTATCGGTAGATACTACAGGCCAAACGAATCATCAGCACATGCATCCCAATCGCTCTGGGACTCAGAAAATGAGTGGGAGGCGGAATTGAGGCAGCAATATGGTCCCAAGGAGTATTGACGTGAATGTCACTTACAAAAGAGCAACAAATGCTCGCATAAATGGAAATTCCATGATCATCGCAACCTTGCAATCACTTACGGATGGATCACTCGAGTTTAAAGGCCTAAAGCCAAGGAAGTTGGATGCGAGAAGTGCCTTGATCTGCAATCGATCCGCGCAGAATGAAGTATTGAACCAACGAGTAATGTTCGTGAACCAATACGGCGTTGAACACTAATCTTGCAAAGAACCAAGCAATGTTGGTACGGACGAAAAGTGACAATCCAACACTGACTCAGAAAGGAAGAGGTCAATCTGGGGGCAAAGGGGGTGACAGGAGATCGTGGGATGTCCGATTAGGGAAGGAAGCCCAAGCAAAGTTAACGAATGTCTGAAGTAGAAAAGCTTTCACCCTCCGAGGTCATAGGAGCGCTCTGCGAAAGAAAAAAAAAAGGATGAGGGCAAGACTACCAGATCAATTGGTTCCTAGAGAGAGTAAGTGCCAACTACTTATGGGCAGGGAAGCAGCATTCGAGACTTTTTCATTGTTGCAAATGGAGACGCTGGAGCGGCGGAATGGCAAGGAAGGCACATGGTCAAGACCGACATCCAGACAATAAATTGAACCAATCCGTAAAGAGAAATATAAATAAGTTACTCGTGGGCTCCAGTTCCTTTGTCATTTCGAGTGTCATGCAGGTGTATTTTTGCCTCGTGCGTCAGAGACCCTGGATCTAGATGGACTGATGGAGGATAGTGAGGGTGGAGAAGGGATTGGCGGCGGCCCATGCATGCAGCTACGTACAGACTACTACAGTGCAAAAGTAGGCTAGTGCTAGCGATATAGTCCAGAGAGTGGAGACTAGTATTATTGCTGGTAGTGGTGGGTGGTGGGTGGTGGATGGTGGATGGTGGATTGACTCTCGCAGTAAGATGACGAGACCAAAGTCGAAGCTAGCCACTAGTTCTATTTACTAGAAATTTTGTACTTTACCCGGGAGGTGGGGGGGGAGGCGGCGGGCAAGAAATAGGGGATGAGGATTGGAGAGAGAAGGGGGGACGATGGGAAAACAAAACGGAGGCCATGCTAGTATAATTCATGATTCTGGTAAATGCCTCTCAAGTTACTTGAAATGGTGCTGTAGGTGAAATAAAGGGAGTACAGAATGTCCCAACTTGAATGTGTCTACGACATGCTGAACAAGCTTGTATCTAGAAACAAGTACACAGACTAGGTACTTGGTATGTGGGCGAGTAAGTAAATAATTGAGTACTGGCCACTGTGTTAGGAAAAGACCATTGCAGAAGAGGAGTCAATCTAGCACTATACTCCCCTCTTGCTCTTGCCTCTCGGAGATATGGCATTTGTCGCGTCGGAGGTCCAAGCTTACAACCACACATATCTGCCTCCCTCCCTCTCTCCCTCTTCTCTTAAATCCCTGCAGCAGCCGAATGTTACACTAGAGAATCTATGGACATCTAGTCTCCCCAATCCTCTATTATATTGTTGTGGTCACCCTCATAGCCCGACTACGTAATCCGCTCGTAAAGTCCATTTGCAATACTCCGTACTGAGGTGGCTTTTCGACTATATTCGACAGGCAAGAGACGCCGATGAGCCGACAGCCTAAAA